ACCGCCCGCCCAACATCTGAGCTTGCACGGACCACGTGGGGATGTTCTTATGCAGGCCCTCCCGTTTAATGATGAACTGCACCAAGCCCAGAAGGAGAAAGAAATGAAAACTCGAAAAATATATCTATTTCCAGACCATTAAAAAATGGTGGGGGTCTTCTATGAGTTTTTTAAAAACAGCATCCAGGATCAAAGGCAATTAAGCAGCACCCAAGAGTCCCCTTAGACGAGAAAACAACTTCCGGTCCCAGACCACGGGCGTCAAGAACATGCCTCCCGATGTTCCCCTATAAAGTCTCTCCTGCCCAACTTCACGCAACATCAGGCAACTGCAGCCACTCACTTGAGCGTCACTCGCCGTTAAAGGAGATGGGAATCAAGGTGCTTAAGGAACTGCTGACCGCCTTGCGCTGTCACAGACTCTTCAAGCGTCCAGCCGGGCCCAAAGAATTGGCATTGGCAAGAAATAAGATGGCAGAGATATTCGATGTAATAAACTAGGGAAGGGACTCCTAAGACTAAACAAGAAGAAATCTAATTCCTAAAATGCAACCCAATCGGCTGCACAATCTTACCTGCATTGCACAGAAACAGGTTTCACAGGTTCCTCTCACACCCGTTAAGCCCGCGATTAATTTATAGAGCAGAGATCGTTGGGGAAAATGGGGACAGGAGAGCAGGACAATTCAATGCTATGGGACTCTTTACGTCCAAGGTCTACCGTTTCGACTCAGAGGAGCAGGCCCCTCAGAGGAGCACTGGCGGCCAGATACTCCAGCATAGCTGCTGTTATGGTGCAATGGTTAAAGTCATCTGGAGAGAGTCAGCTTTAAATCAGCCCAAAAGTCATGAAGCGGAAGGGGTGACCCTGGGTGGCTTATAATCTCCCAGCCTTACAGGGTCGCCGTGAAGAGGGAAAGAGAAAAGAACCACATACATCTCCAAAGCGTCTGGATGCGAAACATGATACAAATGCAAAGAATAACAGGATGTTGCAGCTTCCTTCTCTCTAACAGCAAACTTGGGGTCACAACAACCACCCTAAGATCCAACCCACAAAACATTAACCAACTTTCAGCCACATTAATTTCAGTGTGAATTATTTAAATATTTTTTCAGCATTTCTGTCTAAAAGAATGAGCCTTTGCCGGATGGAGATTTAAGCTAGAGCAAGTCTCCTGATGTTTTAAGGATGCTTTCATAGGGAAAAACAGGCAGGCCGTTTTCTGTCCACCAGTATCATAGCAAATAGTGTTGTTCCCGGCTTCCAGATTTACACCATGCTTAAGCGCCTGGCAACTAATCTTTAAATTTATTGGAACCCTATGATGTCAGGCATTGGTATTCTGCATTTACTCAGCTTTCATTTTGTTTTGTCTGCCGCTTCCCACCATGCACCCAAAATGCTGATGTCCAAACTGCATCTCAAAAGGGCCACCTTGGAAACAGGGGTCTTGAGGTGCTAATAAAACGGAGTGGCATGCCTGTTTCTAGAGCAAAAGAAGCTCCACCATTAATGATGACTCGAGGTGCGCTGAGCCCACACCAACCGACGCAAACGAGAGCTCCTTTTCCATTTCAAGACAAGACGGCTCGGTGCAAGCAATTCCAAACATTCAAATAATGGGTGCAAAAGGCATTCAACAGCACGGATCACCATAACAAAAAATCGTGATGGGATCCCAGGTCATAAACTGTAAAGAGCTAATCCAGGTCTGCTGACGTCAATGGGATACCTTTCCCTTAGATTTCACTGATTCTTGGATTGGGCCCAAGGAAAACGGAACCCAAAAAAGACAATCAAGTGCTTACTGTCTGTTGTCTGCTTGATTTTTATTTTAGTGGTCTAATGAATCTGAATGTTTTAAAATTTAGATCACAATTCCAAGTTTCCTGCATTTGTATAGTTTTGGAGACCTTGTGACCTTTTTCCGATTTTTTTTTCTCAACAGTGTTCCTTTAAAAAACATTAAAAATCAGGGAGACTGCAGATGTATTCTTACTGCGACTCTATCAAATTTCTGTGTCTGTCTCCTAGTGCTGTAAAAGTCTTCCTTACACAGACACTGTGAGGTTAGTACAAAGCATTCAAAGAAAAATACTCCAGGATTTTCAGTATCTGAAGCTACTTCATAAAAACTCAATCTCAGTCAGAATGGCTTCCTGGGAAGCATCTGAATGACCAGATAAGAATCAGAGAAGAATTTACCTCTTCCATTCCCCCCCCAAACCTGGCTTGTTCCACATCTCAAAGATACAAGAAAGGACAGATTCTTATGACCAATATATATATGCATGTCTTTGCTACAAAACACTTAAAACCTAAGATGTATTTGAGTGACGACTGGGCTATTGATGGGTTGCAATTCCCGTTTTCTAGGAAACAAAATGGCCACCTGTTTTCAAGCTCAACTCCTTAACTAATACATTTTCAGGGGATGTAGACCAGCTCTGAGTAAATACCCTTTGCTACACTCAGTAGTAGTCTACACACCCACCACTTGCTACACCACAACAGAAGCAGGACACAGAGTTCACCTGGACTTTGATTCAAGCAATTCAAATACCATGAAAGAAGCCAGAGAAAATGGCGGACGAATCTAGCCTTCAGACTGAGAACAGTTGGAGACCAAATGCACCCACGGACTGTCTGTACAGAGAAAAGGACACATCCACTGTACAGTATATTGACAAGGTTTTAATGTCATGGAAGCCGTTTTCTTAAAACATCTGACCTTCTCCACTTTCCAGCTTGGACTGTAAAAACACAAGCAGACAAAAGCAACACCAGATTCGGCTCTGTGGGTCTTAATCCCGCCAGTAGGTCCATTGCTTCCTTATGCATACGAACACGGCAAGGTTTTGTACGGATAATGTACAGCCACGCTGGTGGTACAAAGAGAGCATACCACACCATTATAATAACATAGGAATAAAGATTGTACATACAAATATTCTTACATCACCTCTGCGCAATTTTTAAGTTCACAGTTTTTCGTGTTTGTTTTGTTCACTCCTGTTGTTTCTCTAGTTTATTTCATATTTTTGTTACCACCAACTGTTAGGATTTATTATGATTTCTAAAGTGCTCATCCTCAGTTCTGGATCAAAATAGTTTCTCAACCTGGTAAATTATTAAACCAACTCAAAAATGTGTGTACATACAGCAGCCCTTGCCACAGTCTGCTTACTGTGAGGAGCTTAAACTTCTTTTAAAAAATTTAGATCACAATTCCAAGTTCTTGTTCTCACTAAGAAGACGTTCAAAGGAAAGGAAAGCAGCAGACTTTCCCCAAGTGTTAAACCTCATGGCATAAAATTCCCACCGCATTTTGGCCCCTGGGATTTTAAAGGAGCAACTCCTTGGACTTTTATTCAACTGTGCCTTCAGACAGAGACACCGCAAACATTTTCAGGGAACGAATTCTCTGAAAAGCAACATGTTTTCGAGTTCTGCACAACAGGAACTGAGATGAAGGTGGGTTCCCAGTTGGCCTTCACCTTTTTTTTGTTTGTTTGTTTGTTTTAAACAAGCTGAAATCAGCGTCAAAGTCCCATCTTACATCAGCCTCTCGGGCTTTAAGAATGCATTTGCTTCTGACTGCTTTTCACCTTTCCTTGCAAAAGACAATAAACAGCATAAAATAAAAACGTTGTTCACAGAGTCCGAGGCTACTGGCAGTAATTTTATCACCTGAACCAATAAAGTTGCCTTTTCATCAGGCTGGGCCATGCTAGGGGGCATTAAAAAAAACAAAAACTGAGTGGGTGGGTGGATTATTATTTCTCTTTGTTCTTGTTAGTCAGGCAGAGTAGTGCTCTGTCACTAGAAGGGTGGGATCCTAATGCAACAAACCAATAAGTAAATAAATAAACCTTACAACCTTAGCCTTGCCTCCATGTTAACCTTTGGCTGGGCTGCATAGAAGTGGGGACTGCAGGCCACACAGAACTCGGCTGGTTCAGATGGACGCCCTGTGTTGCCGAAAGCAAACTTACAGGCCGAGAGAAGAGGAAAGGTTTTGAACCAGCACGCGGTGTTTTTACAGGAGGGACACAGAAGGGATAACCTATTGCCAGCTGTAGGACAGGGTTGGGTGGGAATCATAAAACCCTTTAAGAGAAGCCTGGTTAAGGTGCGAGCAGCCCTCCCTGCAACAGAATCTGGTCCAGTGGAACCCACAGCCACCCCAAAGTACAGGGCACCTCATTTGGTGCCAGAAGGCAGCTGTTGTGTTTTTGTTCCTGGGGTCCTCTAAATGCAACAGCTAGCCAATTTTCACAACAGTGCTGCCCTAGTCAAGTCTACTCAGAAGTAAGCCCCATTGTCTCCAGTGTATTACATCACATCCACCCCCCCCAAATAGATATCATAATTATAGCGCACTTTCCTTTTTTAAGGGGTAGTTGACAGAACAGTAAAACACCCCAAAAAAGAGTACCCCACGGACTGATTACTGCTTGTTTAAATGGGTCAACTGACTTTGGCATCCTCTGCTCTGGGATGCCCTGAATTTCTTGCTGTCAGTGGTTGAGTGAAACAAATGAGATGAAATAAATTAATTGACATTCCAAAAGTATTCATCTATTTTCACCCACGCATGCACGTTCGCTGGGCTTCCCGTTTTCCTGCACTGCTGCCAGCGGGCCCAGGGACAACCTCAAGCGAGGGAAACTTTGGGGGGGGGAACGGCCTCGAAAACCATGAGAGGGTCATCAGGAGGCTTTGATCTGCCTTCTGATATGAAGAGACAGAGCTGAGAGGTGGGGGGGGAGAGAGACAGAGACAAAAAAGGGGATCATTCCAGCTTCATCTCTTTATTGGGATGCGCTGGATCAGAAAGCCTCCCAGCCTCTCAAGTTTCAGCTCGGAAATTCTGGCGCAACCCGCTTCCTCCATGAGTCATGCGAAGCCAGGCTGCTGTCGAAGTTTGCCAGGATTGTCAAACCAAACCGAAAGAGAAGCGGCTGCTCCATTTAAACACATGGCCCACCTGGGCTTAGGGGTGTGCGGGGCTCCTAAGCGGGCAAGGAAAAAAAAGGGGGGGCGTTGGGAAGCCCCATCCAGCAGGCAAAAACTTCCCTTTTGAAGAAGAACAGGCCAGAGGTTCCGGGCTGAACCGATTTATAAGCCGCTGGTGCAAAAACTGGGCCGGCTGAGTTGTCTGTCTGTTTGTTCAAAGGCATGTCTTGAAAGGGAGCTCCAAGCCAGAGGACACACGAGGCTGGGAATCGGAGCTCCCCTCGCCGGGGCCCGGCCCTGGCGGCACCGCTGAGGGAAAGCGGGCTCTCAAGGAAACGCAGTCCTGACCCCAAGCCTGCTCTGCGGGGTCCCCTCTCGCCACGGGGAGGAGGAGGAGGAGGAGGAGGAGGAGGACACACATCTAGGCAGAGGCCACGGCTCTCGCCCTGGGAATATCTGCCCCAAGAGGCACCCTGGCTGTCAAAAATAACGGGAGAGTTGGGGAGGGGGAAGCCTTCCCCCACCCCATGGGGCGCTTCGCAGAGGCCGCTCTTCCCGTTTGGCCCACGGAGAAGAAG